TCCCGTTGATGGTGATTGGAGTTTGTTGTTGTTGTTGTTGATGGTGGTGGTGCGGTATCTTCATCACTTCTGTCTTCTCTATATTCACCTGAAGTCCCGTCTTAGCTGCCTCTTCTGTCAACTTGTTAGTTTTTGCCTGCAGATCTTCAAGTTTATGTGACATTAGGCATAAGTCATCGGCGAAATCCAAGTCTTCTAGGTTCTTTTCCGTCGTCCAGTGTATCCCCCTCTTCTCGCTGCCTACTGTTTGCTGCATGATCCAGTCCACCACAATAGGAATATCATGGGGGATAGTAGGCAACCTTGTTTCACTCCTGTCTTCACTTCAAAGGCATCACTGAGCTTCCCATTGTGGATTACTTGGCATGTGGCATCTTCATATAGTTGTTGAATGAGGCGGATAAAGGTTTGCGGTACTCCGTAGTATTGAAGCAGTTTCCAAATTACTTCTCGGTCGACGTTGTCAAAGGCCTTCTCAAAGTCGATGAAGTTGAGGCAGAGAGCTGATTGCCATTCTATGCTCTGTTCTATGATGATGCGAAGCGTTGCAATTTGGTCTGCACATGATTTGTACTTCCTGAAGCCTGCCTGTTCCGGTCGCAGTTTTGAATCCAGTGCATCCTTAGCCTCTCCAGGATGATGCGGCTTAATATTTTACTTGGGGTGGACAGGAGAGTGATTCCGCGCCAGTTCTTGCAAACACTCAGGTCTCCCTTCTTCGGCAGTTTGACAAGGTAACCCTTCTTCCAATCGTCAGGTACCTTCTCTTCCCTCCACACCTTCTGCAATAGTGGTGTGAGCATGTCCGCTGTTGTCTCTGCATCTGTTCTCAGTGCTTCTGGCGGTATTCCATCTGGTCCTGCTGCTTTCCCGCATTTCAGTAGCTTTATGGCGTTCAGGACTTCCATTTTCGTTGGGGGATTAATGTTCACTTGTAGTTCAGCGGCTGCAGGTGGTATTTCTGGACGAAGTGCAGGTGGTGGTCGATTCAAGAGCTTCTTGAAGTGGTCGGCCCATCGTTTCCTCTGTTTCTCTTCTTTTGTAATTAAATTTCCTTCTTCATCTTTTATTGGTTTCATCTGTGTTGGTCTCTTCCCTGATAGCAACCTGGTTATTTGATACAATGTCGTCAGGTCTCTCTTACCTGCAGCCTGTTCTGCTTCACTTGCCAGTGTTCGTAGAAGTGTCTTTGTCTTTGCGTGCACTCTTCTTCACTTCTTTATCCAGTGTTTTATACATTGTGCTCAGTTCCTCTTGTCGTTGAGCATCCTTGCACTGGTTTATCTTCTGCTTCACCATCCTCCTCTCCTCTATCAGCTTCCAGGTATCCGTCGAGATCCATTCCTTGTCTTCTTTCTTCTTCCTTCCTAATACTGTTGTGCAGGTTTCTTTCCACATAGCTTTCAAAGACTTCCAGTGTTCTTCACACAGGTTTCTTCAGGGATGTCCCTCGACGTCTCCCATTTTGTCTTGATGGCTGCTTTGAAGATCTCCTTTGTAGTTTCATCCTTCAGTTTCCGAGTGTTGTACTTGGGTTGAGGTCTATCACCAGCTTCCTTGAAGGCTTTTAACTTGATTTGGAAGGTTCCTTGCACTAGATAGTAGTGGTCTGAACCTACATCTGCTCCTCTTCTTGACCTTGTGTTAAGTAGACTGCGTCTCCATTTTCTTGAGATTGAGATAAAGTCGATTTGATTTTTAGTGTGTCCATCTGGTGAAATCCATGTCGCTTTGTGGATATCTTTGTGCCTGAACACACTGCCTCCAATCACCAAATCGTTGAATGCGCAGAATTCTGCAAACAATTCTCCATTCTCATTCATTTCACCTAGTGCCTCTCGACCCATGGTTAGTTCTCTTCCCGTGTTGTCCCCTCCCAGTTTGGCATTCATGTCGCCCATCAGAATTTTGATATCGCCAACTGACGTCTTGTCCAGTGTTGATTGAAGTTGTCTGTAGAAATCCTCCTTTTTCTCTTGCTCTGCATTATTTGTAGGTGCATAACATTGTATGATTGTGACCTTTCTTCCTTTTGAGTTGAATCTTGCTGTCATGATCCCACAGGAGATTGGTTCCCACTGCATGAGAGCCTTCGATGCTCTTGAGGACATCATGATAGCCACTCCCTCAGTGTGCTCGTGGTTGGCGTCTGGGTGACCGGAGTAGATTATTGATTCTCCAGTTGACAGTTTGGAGAGTCCACTCCCATTCCATCTGCTTTCGCAAATCCCAAGCACTTCGATGTTATACCTTCTCATCTCCCTTGCAATCTGGGCTGCCTTACTGGGTTCAAACATCGTGCGGACATTCCATGTCCCCACGTTTACTTTCGCTTTCATCGAGAGAAGACACATCGGCCAATTGGCTTCCCGAAGGCTTTCACCAACTGGCGTCATTTCGCCTCTCCGATTCCAGCGAGGAATAAGTTTGTTTTCATTTTTTATATTTTGTTTGTGCTTTGAAGTTTCTTTAGCGGTTAGATTTGTTTTACGGGGTAGGGTTGCTAGCCCTATGCCCAACCTTCCCTCTTTACCCGGGCTTAGGACCGGCTAGTAACTAGTAAACTAGTTAACCAGGCGAGGTTCATTGAATGGATACTGTCCGTTTTTGAAGTAATTCTACTTGGTAGTAAGCAATTCTATCGGTGTATCTTAATGTAAGCTGGACGTCGACAGCATTTTCTTGCTAGTTACACATCACAAGAGTCATGGGTAGAAGACGTGGGTAGTCTTATTGCACCTACCAAATTCAAAGTGTACAAGATGACTGTTGTCCAGATTAGCCATATACTGATGGGTAGCAAACCTTGGCTGAATTCATACATCTCTACTTATGATCCCATCGTTCACGGATAACGTGTTCCTCAAATAAATAAACTGAAGATGGCAACTACTGTTGATTTCATTGCATGTATGTCTACAGGAACTTCCCCGTTTTACGTAAAGTTTTATGCATATCGTCAATATCTAACGACAGCGTGCCCCAGTGACCTAGTGGGTGATGCTGAGGTCCCTGAAGCAATGGGTACTGGCTTCGAGTCTCAGTGACAAAAACATCACTTACTGGGGTGCAGGTACACCCAGGTGATGAGTCTTAAATAGGACAAAACGTGCATCCTGGATTCCACTGCTAATCATCAAGATGAATATGATATCAACATACTTTGGTAATTATCTTAAAAAGGAATAAATAACTTCACATCTATTCACTTTTGTGTAGAGGATTTTGAAACTTTCGTTTTCTTTTGCACAGTGGTGTATATGTATATCGATCAAACAAATGTATATTTGCAAACAGATAAAATCAACGTAAAACCTTACACACAGGTCCTTTCGTCTTGGGAACTCGAGACAGGTAGCTAGTCTACACCACCGTACATGACTCAGATAATGAGTCAGAGATTTCACTGACTGGTGAACAGACCACTCCCAGACCTCTTTCAACCTACTTCAGTTCCTGCTAACACTAGACATTGGGATGGGTGGTGGGGTGGGTTGTCATGCTCAGTACATGTGTAAGCTATCTGAGTGGATGAAAGTAGAGAACCTCATCGACTGACTTGTGTATGAGTTGTCTAGTACTCTTCATCTTACCTTGACACTTCTCACTTGATGATTCCACTTTATGTGAGCAATACTAGTAAGAGACGTGTGATGGAAAACCTGTAACCGCTTGATGTTGTTTACTCTCACCAAAATTGTCTTATAGGCATATAACAGGAAAGAATGAAATGCTATTTGATGCCACACATGAAGTAAGTTGACAAATGCTAAGCGGGCATTCTCTATCCAGGATGAGGTTTCTTCGGTAACTGAAGTGTTCGGGTTGATGCAACTCTGCAAGTAAATGAAGTGGTCGATGTTTGATATTTCGAAATGTTTTAATTTTTGATGGTGGTAGTTGATAGGTAGAAATCTTTGCTTGATGTCAGTTTTGTGTTTACTGGAACTAGTCACCAAGCTCCATTTTTAACCATAAGGAAACTTTTGTTCCTGCCACTGAAATAAGAAGGAACATCGCTTTCTTTACGGTCACGTATATGCCTTACTGATGAGAGCTCGCAAGAATAAAACCTAGGTAGAGCAGGGCTTCCTGACGATCACCTCTAACAATCTAACATCATAGCACATGACTTGACTCATTGGTCACATTGGAAATCTTGACTTTGACCAGTGGTAAGTGACCACTGACCAGTTGATAGTAGCATAAGTTACTTAGTGATGAACAGCTCATCTTCTAAGATACTCTTCATTATCTCAAAACCCTACTATCGCCTAATGCTTCTCATTCCTCGGAAATAGGAGGAATTCACCGGGAGGCAAGCCTCCACAAGAGAAGAACTACATTTCCTCAAACAGTGCTGACGGCAGCACGTTGTGCTAACTAGTATCAGATATAAACCACCTATCAACTGTCCAATGGGTTGGAAAGTACTGGAAAGAAGCGGAAGATACATAGAACAACTGATGATCACCAATGTTCATTGTCGGATCCGGTGGCGGGATTAAATCATCCAAACAGGCTACTCAAGATCGATAGAGTAGTATGTGTAATTTGAAAGGAAAGAAATGATAATTTGAATTCCATGAGTAGTTGCACACCTTAACCGCATGGATCAGCAGTGTTTGCTAGCTAGATTTAAGTGATCTAAACACCAGATGGCCGTTTCACTCATGTGGTGATCACGTGGTGGTTTGAAGAACCCGGATACACTGCTGATGAGTTGACCCGGCTCTAGACAAGCGAAACAGCAGTCTCGTGTTTAGACTACACCTTGATCTGACTAACATGAAGTTCCAGTGAATTTATCTTCACCACAAACTATGTATTCCTCCGTCTACAGGATTGGTTTAGAAAGAGTTCAAAAGCGGACTGATCACCCTTCTCCTCTAATAAGTTCTATATTCGCTCATATACCTTCTGTTACACTCTACTATTTGTCTTTATCAGGCAAAATTTTAATCTTCACCTTCCTTTTCCTTTCTGTTTGCATTGTATAGATCAGGTAGTTTCCAATGGAGTTTGGGATATCCTGCCAATCAGTGTTATATTATCCGTGTCCGATTTGAACGCATTAGATAAATGTTCATTTTGTATGGAAATGTATTGCATTGGTGATGAAATTATTTGGTTGCCATGTTTTCATGCATTTCATCATTACTGTTTTCTAGACTGGATTTATGAGGTAAATAACTATTATTCCAAAATAAGAATCTTACTGAACTGAATACTACTTATAAGAAAGTATATCAATAGTATGTAATGTTGACACAAATATATCCTATATTTTTGCTAAATCCCCCTCCAACAGCTAACGAATTAACAGTGTATGTTTTTTTGTGATGTAAATGGCGGGTAACTGTGTCAATGAATCAACTGTTCAATGTCCAAGGTTTGCCGGGACTGGCTCCTCGAACACTGCACGCCATAGTATCTTCATCTAAACCGAAAGTAATGACATGAGTTGAAGAGAAGTTCAATAGGACAACGAAAATTTTTATCCTTTCCAACGTTTTCTGATGTTCCACTATAGACTACTGATATGCATTTATATAATTAGTGTTTATCACACTATGATTCACATGTGTTAGTATCAGTCTTCTTTAATGATTTATGAGTTTTAAAGCAGTTCATATGTTTTTCATTGAAGTAGTTGACTACACTTCTAGCTGACCAGTGGACGTTCAAATGTCAAGCAAGATATCATGGTCTGAATGAAACCAGGTAGGTAACGTAAAATAGGTTGGGATTACAATTTCTTATTCTACTGGAATTCTATTAATTTGATTGATTTAAGGCGTAACTTTAAAGGCCAACCCAGCAACAATTGAAATCACCAAATAGGTAATTTTTTCACCTTGAAAGGCGAATCTTAATAACATACAGAACTCCAATTGAGATTATCTTAACAGTTGTTAGGATAGCTTTCGAAGTCACTCAGTCTGTGTGTGTGTGTGTGTGTTGGTGAAAGGATGGGTAAATTAGCCACTGGATGGTAACTGATACGTTTGCCGATTCTGTTATATATTTCTCATTGTGTAAATGACTTAAATACATGAGACTGCTTTTTTCAGTCTTGCACGTGATTGGTCACGATCATACTCAGCCCGTCTCGTATACCCAGTCCGCACACACGATGAGTCATGCAATTCAGCCTTCCCAGTCACGAAGTACACAAAATAAAGTCTGATGCTTTTCGCTCTCGTATCTCAAGTGACTTCATTCATCTATATCTACATATATAAATTACTTGACTACGACGGCACCATAATTTATATAGATGGAACTAATTTCATGCACAAAATATGGGATAATGCATAACTGGGTTTCACTCGACACCCAGTTATTTCCGAAATACAGGTCATACAGAAATAAGTAAGGAGTCAATCGAGAGCTCTTGAACCAAGCTATACAACAGTGTTAAAAACTAGGTCATAAGCAAAACAAATTTAAACTATGTAAAATAGTATGACCCATGACATTTATTTACCACTGACATTCTACACTTTTCGGTTGATATAACGGATTCCTCATTGTCAATGTACATTTATCATTGATTGTGCAAAGAACAGCGACTCTGGTTGACAGTTTGACGATAAACCGTGAACTTACTCAAGTTGAGTATCCTGTTATCTTGAATTTTGAGGGAGTTGTGAGGATTTGGAAATATTTCAAGTTGTTATTCATCATAGACTGCCATCAGTTGGAGAAACAAAGGAAACCTGGGAGCACAGGACAGCTGCTGTTTCGTCCTAGTGTGGGATTCCTCAACAGTGTGCACCCACTACACCGCCAGGGATGGAACCCGCGACCTTCAAGTTCCGAGGCCAGCACGTTACCATTGAGCCACTGGGTCGGCGGAACCCGATGGTCCATATTTCCAACTTGTGTTGGGTGGCTGTTGCGCTATATCGTAGCCTATTATCTCACCAGTTATCCGGGAAACTTTCACCAACTTAGTCTTGACTAGGTCAAAGTGTTTGTGGAAGAAAAAAACTAATAATCCTAAGTTTAAAATTTCTCCTATATTCATGAAATGAATTTTTTCATTCTTTCAATAGTTCTATTTTATAGTTGTTTGTTTACTGATTTAGTGTCAAGATTGTCCTGTCTGTCGATGGCCAATCTTCGTATTCGAGTAATGTATAGATGAATGTGGATGTCATAGTGAAATGAAAGTGTGCAATGTATCACTAGAAAACTATTTCTTCAAGACAACAAACAATTCAGTACTTCAGAAAAGTCCTTCTTTTGCCTTTTAATGATTAATTGAATACACTTTTGATTTTTTTTTTTAATTCTATACGGTGACAGATTTTTGTATTGGCATATAAATATTCACTCCATACTTTCTCTATCCCATTTCTTTTGTTTTGTATTGATGTCATTGTGAAAAAGAAATGATTTGAATAGGAAAACTAAATAAAAAGACTAATTTTCAAATGATATTATTATTATTATTATTATTATATTATTATTATTATATTTGGGTTCCTAATGGAACATAGGGCTTCAGTAGCACACCTCCATTTCACTCTGTTCTCTGTAGTCTTTTGAACCTGGGTCCACGACTGCTCACAACCTTTCATTTCTTCCTCACAAGACCTCCCGCATGTCACCTTCAGTTGGGACGCCCAACTCATCGTTTACCCTTTGGGTTCCACTCGACGGCCTGGCCTGGCACATGATGTCCCCGAATGGTTTTCTCAGTGTATGTCTAGTCTAATTCATCTCTACTTTCTTCCGCATATTTTTTGGGCGATAAGATCTTGCTTGGTTCCTTCCCAGACTTCCTTATTGTTTATTCTCATTATTCTGGCCATCTGATTTCCATCCTCAGTATCGAGTGAGCGTAGGTGGCAGCTGTTGATGAATGCCTGTAGTTTGTTGGAAATGCTTTTCGTAACGCGCCAAGTCTCTCAACCATCACACAGAAGCACTGACTCAACTGAATTAGTGTTGAAAATCCGGATATTGTTCAAGCTTTATGCTGAGTGCAGAAGATATCCACACTGATTTCAGGTTAATGAAAGCCTGTCTTGCTTTCCCGATCCTGGCTTTGAGACCCTCATCTGTGTCGCCGCCTGTAGCTGAAAAGATGCCGCCTAGGTAGGTGAAACAGACAACTTCCTTTCCGAATTTTGTGTATGTGTACCGAATTACAGTCAAGGCTACTATTGTTTTCCCATGATAAGCGTACAGGAATCAATTTGATGACCATCACACCCAAGATCTTTTGGTCCGTATTTATCCAACCCTTGACTGGAGCTGGAGAACAACAAACTGGAGAAAACTATGCAGGTTTCAAACGTCGATTTTCACCCTTTAACGAGTTTTGGATAAAGGCATACTTTCCAGTGGCTGCCAGTTGCCATATTTCTTGATTTGATTGCGGTCTTTGCCTCTTTCAACCATGAGGTGTTGCGGTGTGAAAGTAGTACCGAGCGAGTATGCAGTGCTACTCAAAGTTCTCCACCTAAAATCTCGTAACCACATAAGGATATACTTAAACGTTTCGTCCAAATTAACGACTAACAGTAGTGTCAGCTTTCATCGTTCCTGGTTAACTTTTTTACAGCCATATTAAGGGACATAGCCCGTGGTACCTTCAGTTTTGCTAAGATTGCTCGACTCCCTGGAGAAGCAACTGGTTGACCTGGAGTATGAGGACAGTATTGTCCTGTTACGTGAGAATGAGGAAAAAATCCAGGGTCTTCTGAAAGGGTTGAAGAGAAATCCGAGCGCGTTTGACATGTGTTTAACATCTATCAAATGTAGGATGATGCTTCAGGACTAATTTGCAAATATGATTAGTTTAGGGATAGGATGAGAAGTGGCAGAAAGCGTTAACCACTTCAATAAATTAGGGGGCTGCAGTCAGCATAGACTGCTTAGTTGTTGACGGAATCTCACTTCAGATAGCACAGGCCCCTTTGAAATTTGCCAATTTACTTCATCTTTGTCGTCGGCAGCAAGATATCCAACTACCTGTTGAAGGAAGACTATACTGCGCTGCAGCCCGTTCTGTGCTATACACGGCTGTGATAAGTGATCGCTGAAAGTGGAAGATGTAAAAGGTAACACGTTTTGGCCACAACTACCTCCGTAGCATTGCCTTTATGTGTCTGAATCACTGTGTAAGGGAAACTGAGGTCAGGCAAAGGGTACTAGGCTTGGACATGTATTCCGCATGCCGACCCGCTTTCCACCTCTCTGACTGTTGATCTAAGGGCTGTAGAGAGGTCTAGACTGTCTGTTTGGAGTTATCAAGAGGATATGAATCAATAATTTGAAAGCTTTGATAATTGCATCGAAAGTTTGTACACTTTCACAAACCTCTGTTGATTTCTTCTTCATCCTTCGACATACTTTTTTCTACTTTAATACTTTTGTTATGAATGTATGCACTGCTGTATTATTTTTAAATGCGTTCCAACGAGAATCGGATAACGCGAGCAGATATCACTTCTGTTTGTTCAGAATATTATAGGGCGTTAATCTAATTAATAGTCATCAGTCGAATACACTTCAATAAACAGGTAAAGTAGAAGACAAACACCAAAGGACTTGAAAAGATGAAATTAATTAATTAATAGATGGATAAAAATTGGTTATAATATTAATGTGATGATGTTTGTCAAGAAATTTGAATAAAGTTACATGGAGTACACAGCAATAATACAATTTTTTCTATTCACCTGTTCTTTGTATACTTCTGCGAAGTGTAACAACTTGAAAACAATTAAATTACGCATAATGCTCTTCGCTGATACTGTCTATCAGTTTGCTTGAAGTCTCAAGAAAGAATAATAATTCTTCTAAGTTTTAGTATGTACAGTAGTGGTTGGTCATAAGTGTTCCAAGTAATCTAGAGTCAATAGGCACACTATGTTGTTCAGTAGCTACCACCATCACCAGAAAAACTAGCAGTATGGCTGTGAAACTTGGCCATTAAAAGTGGAAGATATAAGAAGGCTTCAAGTGTTTGACCACCATTGCCTTCATAGTATAGGACGTACCCCATCATGCCACCATGTGAGTAATGCAGAAGTCAGGAGTAGAATTTTAGGGTGTAGAGGTAAATCAGTAGACGACGTTACGAACATTCATCCATTGACATGGTTGGGACACGTATTACGTATGCCTAGTCACCGATTGCCTCGTCACACAATGTTAGCTGAAGTAGGTCCAGGCCGGAAAATGACCCGAGATGGCCACACTAAAACATGGCATCAATGTATGAATTCTCTGACTGTTGGCTTGAGCCATTTGGTGGGTCGATGCAGACTAGGTGGTTTGGGTCGGTGGGACAAAAGGAACCACTGGTTGGAGACTGACTCTAGGTGATCACATGGCTGAGAACACACATTATCCTCATCTCAAAGGGGCAATACCGAATCTCACCATTTTCTCATTCTTGCTTTCTCTCTTTTTGTACCTTATATTTCTTTTGACTGCATTCTCTTATCTTCATCTTCCACCTCACTGCCTTTTTACTTGATATAGTGATCTGAGGTGTGGCAACTCGGACCGTTAAGCAGTAATGCCTGGTCCTATGTTGATACTGATTGATTGATTGAGCTGAGAATTGAGCTAACAGTGATATTTAGCGATGTAATTGAATTTTTCCTTGAATTAGAATAAATTTACATGAATATTTTTTCCAAAAATATCTATTCTACTTAGGAAACGATCAAGGTAAAGGATTTTTGTTGGTGAGAAAGTAAATTTTTAATTTGCCATCAACCAATTTTACACACAATTACATGATTAGCTTGGTAATAATGCCAAGAAAAAAGAAAAAGGGTATTCTATCTGTACAAATCGATCATTAAAGTGACTGAATTTTGTGCATCAAACAATGCAAGTGATAAGTTGGCTAGAGGCAGTCGGTAAGAAGCCCTATTCAAACGAGGTTTCATGCTTCTTGGTACTTGTCAGTAAGACGTATCTCCAATCTTGAGGGAACTGATATCTCGCATGAAGTTCGAATCCGCGTTACCCAGTGCTGTATTCAGCAACGTCACCACTGATTATTATGTCACTGTTATAATTAGCATATCTATGACAACAATTCCATATAAGCGAACAATACTGTTTTCAATTACATCCTCGTCAAACTTTACTATAATACAAATATCGCAATCATTATTATTATTTATTATTTTTCCCTTGGGTTCTTAGTGGAACATCAGCCTTCAGTAGCACATCTCCACTTCACTCTGTTCTCTGTAGTCTTTTGAACCTGGCTCCATGACTACCCACAACCTTTCATTCCTTCCTCACACCATCTCCTCCATGTCACATTCAGCTAGGACGCCCAACTTGTCGTTTCCTATTTGGATTCCACTCGAACGCCTAGTCTGACGCGTGATGTCCTCAGACGCTCCTCTCAGTGTATGCCCAAACCATCTCCACTTTCTTCTTCTGCGTATTTGTTAGGCGATGAGTTCTTAGTTGATTCGTTGCCAGCCAGCCAGCCAGCCAGCCAGCCAGCCAGCCAGCCAGCCAGCCAGCCAGCCAGCCAAGGTTCCTTGTTACTTATTCTTATTATTCTGGCCATCTGATCTTCAGTGTCAGTATCGAGTGAGTGTAGGCAGCAACTGTTCATGTGATGAATGTCTGTAGTTTGTTGGAAATGCTTTTCGTGACACGCCAACTTTCTGAACCATACACCGACACTAACTCGACATTGGTGTTGAAAATCCGGATCTTGTTCTCTGTGCTGAGTGCAGTAGATCTCCACGTTGATTTCAGATTAATGAAAGCCTGTCTTATTGTCTTTCCGGTCCTGGTTTTGACATTCTCGTCTGTGCCACCGCCTGTAGTTGAAACGATGCTGCCTAGGTAGGTGGATAGATGAAAGGAGACTACTTCCTTTAGGTTTATCCCGTTAATGGTGATTGTTGCTTGTTGTTTTTGATGTTGTTTTTCGTTGGGTACCTTCATCACCTCTGTCTTCTTTACACTCACTTGAAGTCCCACTCCCTTTGCCCTGCCTCTTCTGTCAACTTGTTAGTTTTCGTCTGTAGATCTTCGGGTTGTGCCATATTAGACATAAATTATCATGGGTGAAATCCAAACCTTCTAGGCTGTTTACATCAGTCCAGCCAGCATATGCTCATCTTCCCGCTCCTCACAGTTGTCTGCTGCATGATCCAGTTCACCACAATCAGGAAGATCATGGGTGATAGAAGGCACCAGCCTTGTCTTACTCCTGTCTTCACTGCAAAGGCATCACTAAGCTTTCTATTGTGGACGGACCACTTAGCATGTGGTGTCGTCATATATCTGTTAAATGAGGTTGATAAAGACTAGTGACACTCCGTAGTGTTG